TACACTCTCGTTTAGATCATCAGAAGACGAATTCATAGATACTAATGAATGTATTGTGCCACATGTCACGTCACTCACTTTTAGAACTCTCAACATGCCATTAGGTCGTAAAGTGTATCTGGTCTAGCAAAAGGTGTCGTGGTTGCCATGGTGACCAAGGGCCTGATGTCGTTCACAGACATCCTGGCACCCAGTATGTTTATTGGGTGAGGGGTCTGTGACTATTTGTTAATCTAATGAATAATTGATTTGTTAAATCTAATGAAAACCAGTCTGATTGGTCCATACTCTACAATGCCTATTTCTATAACTACACTTAGTCATTTGTGTACAAGATAAATAATAAAGGAGAGAGGACACATCCTTGAGGTGACCCAGTAGATGACACCAGCCATTCATAAAATAACAAATGTTTTGGGCTTGTCCAGATGCTGAAGTACTAAGTGTAAGAGAGTTGCTACTGCATCTACACCTCGCTTAGACCTATATGCAAATTGTAGGGGGTCAAGTGAACTCTGTGTCCTTTGCATAATTACTTTAACTAATTTTTCAAAACATTTCATAACTGAGGATGTAAGCGCCACAGGTCTAAAATCATCCAATATCTGGACATTATGCTTTTTTGGCACTGGAAACACTGTAGACTGCTTCCACAGTGCAGGTACTTTTTGTTGTTGAAGGGACAGAGCAAAAATGTCATAAAATATTGGACCTAACTGCTTGGCACATTCCATAAATAACCGACCCCCTATATTATCAGGTCCAGGTGCCTTCCTGAAAACTTCCTTAAAAACTGGTATCACATCCCTCACATTAAAAAAGAAACAATCATGCTCCCCATTTATTCTTCATTCATGTTTCAACCCATCGATTTCCTGTTTAAAATCATAAGCATCAAATCTTAGATAAAATTAAAATCCTGTAACAAAACTGCATCTGAACTGAATCCATTAAAACTAATTATGTTATTACTTTTCCTACTATACCCTGACCTGTTATTAAATACATCCCCTCCCAAGCAGAACCTAAATTTGAGTCGAGCTGACTGACAAGAAGAGTGGGGGTGAGAAAGGTTCTACTTTCTTATTTATTTGGTTATATATATTATACATGTTTACTTAGGTATACAAAACTGGAAATAGGCTATTTAAACTTTATGTAAGTTATTTGTTATTTTATATTAGGCATAGCCTGACCTATAGAATGGTGTATTTGTATTTGTTTTGTTAATAAAAGTTCTATGTATTATATATACGCTAAAGTGAGTTTGACGTTGTATTTTGTTGTTGCATTCAAGCAATTGACGCCTAACTGCCGCTAATTCAAAAGTGAAAGTAAAATGCGCACGGCGCTTTCAAGCTATTTAAAAGCGACGGAAAGTGAGGAAAAGAGGGAAAAGTCAAACGAACTAAAAACGACCAATTGCTTTACACCGAATTGCCGCTATTTCAAAGTGAAAGTAAAATGCGCACGCCGCTTTTACAAGCTATTTAAAAGCGAGGAAAAGAAGGAACGCCCCTGCCCCGCCCCCACGGTGATACCGGTGTTGTCACACGTCGCTTAACCGGTGGGAAAATTTCCTCACCGTCACAACCCTAAACTACAAAATACTTCTGTTAATTCATCAATGTCAATCCATAAAACAAGTCCAAAATGTTATCCTCACGTTTTGGGCAAGTTACATTGATTCATACTGATTGAAGTGGCCCAGTGATTTCTCCAATGTACAATTATTAAAATCTCCCAGAATAAAACTGGGTGCATCAGGAGATACAGACTGCAGTTCATGCACCACACATTCAATCTCCCATGCTGCATTGTCCTCATTTGCTTAATGCCAGTCAGCCACTCAATATCTTTCGTGCACGCTCTCTCCTTACTCGTCCACGCCCTCCTAAAACGCCTCGTTTAAACACGCCCCACATGTCTACGTCACTATGTGGGAAAATTTGCATACCACCGCCCAAATGTTCATGCAAAGAAAGACGACATAACTTTTATTCTCACTGTAGTATTGTTGCTGCCGCCGCCACCATGTCGTGGAGACGCTGTGTTTCGTTGTGAAAGCGAAACTACTTTGTTTGGCCTTCCAAAAGCCAAATGTTCATGCAAAGAAAGACGACATAACTTTTATTCTCACTGTAGTATTGTTGCTGCCGCCGCCACCATGTCGTGGAGACGCTGTGTGTTTCATGGTGAAAGCGAAACTACTTTGTTTGGTCTTCCAAAAGAGGACACGACTAGAAATCAGTGGTTAAGTTGTATTTACAACACTGTTCCAGAACACTTCAACCCAAATATTCAGATGTGTGCAGCGCATTTTAAGGAGGATGAGGACTGTTTCCTGGGAGATTAGACTACAATTCCGGCGTTCCGTTGAATTCAGTTCCCGTTTCCCCCTTCGGCGCGCATGCTGACCCTATACAGTCTATGATGCTGACAAATAATGCTGACTCACAGCCTGTATGTTTTCATAGTTAAAGAATTTGCCACTGATGATTCAAACGAGAGTTTTGAGCAGTGTAGGGTAGTGCTCGTTTGTCATTTCTCCGATCACAAATGCAGACATGGTTTTATGTTTACATGGCCCGATGCAACGCAAAAAACACAGTATAAGTAATTATAATCAGTAATTATGTCCCCACTTGATGCAACAAATGCC